ATAGTAAATATGCTAAAACATATGCTTTAGCATATTTCCAAGCAATTTAAGGCTACAGACTGCTCCAGTTGCTGCCTGCATATTTGTAGCCACAGATGGTCATGCAAAGCCTCAACTATGACTGAAATAGGCTTTTCTTCCCAGATTTGGCCAACATTACAGCTTTTTGGGTCCCCAATTATGATGTCCCAATGACAGCAGAAAGTAGTATTGGTTAATTACTGTTGTGATTTGAAGAAAATGGCCGCAAAGTGAGTGGCACTATTAGGAGCTATGGCTTTGTTGGAATAGGTGTGGTCTATTTGGAGGAAGTGTGTAACTGTGGAAGCAGGCTTGAGGTCTCATATATACACAAGATACAGCCCATTTCCTGTTGCCTTCTGATCAAGATATAACCAGCACCATGCTGCCATACTCCCCAACATGATGATAATGGACTGAACCGCTGAAATGTAAGCAACTACCCCAATTAAATGTTCTCTTTTATGAGAGGTGCCATGGTCATGGTGTCTCCTCAAAGAAATTGAAACCATTTTTAAGACGATTACTTCACCTCTTATCACTTATTATCAACAAAAGGCTAGGATGTTAAGTTTCAAGCTTGGAACAAATGGCTGAGGTGTCTATTGACCATACAAATCTGAATTTGACCACCAGTTTCTCCAAGAATCCCTCAGTCCCTACTTGTTACAGGGTATGGCTGGCATACCCCACTCCCAACCCTGAACTCTCCTGCCCAGGGTCTGGGCTATCCTTCCCCCAGAGGCTCTTCCTTATGCAGTTCAGACATTTTGGTCTCCTGCTTGTTTTGTATCTTTGGCCTCCTGACTGCTCCACCTGGTTCCCATCTCTACTCTTCTCTTCCTACTCTCCCCACATGACCCAGCTCGGTCTGGTCTTATCTACTCTGGACTCACTCAGATATCCCTGCCTCTGACTATGCTCTCCCACACAACTACAATAAACTTTCTCCTCCACCATACTTAGGAGCACTCATGTTCTTTTTTTTTTTTTTAATTATTTCTTTTTTTTTCATTCAAGCTCACCCACTAATACAGTTCAAAATTATGAAGTTTGCTCCATTATTTTATTTACTATGAAAATTAAGCATTAATTTAAGCATTAACTAAAGGATCAGGAGAAGAGATCTGAGTTCCAGTCAGATCCTGAGAAAGGAGAAGTCCCAAAGGTCCATAGCTGGCCTGGAGGCCTAAAGGCTCTGGGGTCCATTCTGCCTTTGTGGCCAAGATGTGTCCAGCAGAAAATTCTCTCTTTCCACTTTATAAAAACTCTTTGACAGGGTCTTTATTGCCAGAGTCCAGCTCTGTCGAGGTTCAGGTCCAAAAGTGAAGGTGTGGAGTTGGTGAGGACAGGAGGCTGACAGGATCTGAGGGAGAATCTGAATAGCTGCTGCTTCATTAAAGAAGGCTACACTTTCATACTCTACAATTGCACAAAGGAGTAACTGGGGATGGGAGGAAGGGGACTTGTGTGCTGGGTTGGGGTTTGTGAGCAGGGATTGAGGGAGCTAGCATGGACCATGACAAGTTATTAGACACCACAGTCATGTGTTAATGGAAGGGCAGCTAGTTCCTCTTGCCAGAGATAAGGAGAATGGCTCCCTTTATGGCAAGCAGGAACTTTCTCCAAGCCCTAGTGGAAATGTCAGCTTTTGTTTAAATGCTTGATCTTGGGGAAAAGACTTTCTCAAGGGACCATCCCTTGTATTATAGAATATTGCTTAGTTTATCCAATAGCTAGTGCTTAAAGTTAGCAAAGACAAAGGTAGACAAATATTACTGTGAACTGAGTAGACCTTAGGAAATTATAAATTGTTGGGCCCTGGCCCCCCATTTCTTGAGTAGCTGTTGCCTTGCTTTCTGTCCTTGACCAGATGTCCTCCCTATGCTGATTCCTGCCAGTTTCCTTCCTCCTGAATGCTTACGGGAGGTTCTTTGTGTATCCTGCATTTGGCATAAACAGTTAGAATGCAAGAATGTAAAACATCTATAGCGAACTTCTGCCCTCTGGGGTTCTCCCATTGTGCTGTAAGCCTGTATTTAAGGTTTCCTCCCTCCTTCAATAAATGGCATTCCACATTCTGCTGAGAAGAATGACTTGCTGTCTTGTCTCTGTTCTTTAATCCTCAGCTCCTCACTTGGACATGGTGAACGGGTGGTGGTAGCGTGGGTGTTACTGCTACAATAAATCTTGATTATCAAATGTACATTATTTATTTTTTCTTTTTTTTTTTTTTTTTTTTTTTGGTTTTTCGAGACAGGGTTTCTCTGTGTAGCTTTGCGCCTTTTCCTGGAACTCACTTGGTAGTCCAGGCTGGCCTCGAACTCACAGAGATCCGCCTAGCTCTGCCTCCCGAGTGCTGGGATTAAAGGCGTGTGCCACCACTGCCCGGCGTACATTATTTATAAAAAATCTTATTTGTCAAATAAATCTTATTTATCAAGCATATGTTACTTATCTAACTTTTCTAGCAGCTTGTGTTAACCTGTTTAGGAGTAGGCAGAGTTATCATGGTATATGGTTTCACAGTGGCAGGGATTTTGTTCAAAGAATTAATTTGTTTAAAGATGCTCCCATTTATACACCTTCATCCTCCACTGAAGCCCACCCAAATTTCCCAAAGGAAAATGTATAAGGGAACTCCCATAACACACAGTCAAAATCATTAAAAATTAAATCAGAGTGGTACTGGAGAATTGTGATCCACAATGTTGAAATGCTGGAACTCTGTCAAGCAGCAGTGGTCCTCATGTGCTCCTCAGCACTTTATTATCCCCCCTTTTCATGGTCTGTCATTGCTTTAGGTCCTATGTAGTCTAAAGTTTGTAGACCTGTAGCTCTGAATACTTTCTTCCTCTGGAACTTAACAAATATTTCAATAATTGTTCAAAATGCTTTGCCTCATATAACTGAAAAGAGCCCATATTTAGTCCCACTCTCTCACTTTAAGTTCATGACCCCCTTTCAGTCAAAGAACTCTTAATTCTATTTATAGTAAACTCTTCTTTACCTTCTCCAAGGGTCATGTGCCCCACATGGGGCACCACTTGTGGGGGTCCCTGATGATGAGAATGAAAACCCAGTGCAGACTGACTTCGTCAATCTGGATCAGACTTCAGGGAGACTATTATTAGATAGACCATGGTCAGCATATTTAAAACACAGAACAATTTGGGAAAAGGTTTCTAGGCAACAATCAGTCCAATTCCAGGTGCACAAATAAAACTTAAGGTGTGATGACGTAGAGACTCCTTTACAAAGTACATGTGACTATGAGGGTGGGTTTATAGCTAAAAGACCTAGAGTCTAGTATTATCTCTGACCAAGAGAGCATAGAGGTCAGCAGACTATAGAGTACATGTGACATCTCCCCTCAAATGCTTAGTGGACTAGGAAGGAAGACTCTGGGATAATTATTCTGGGGAATATTGGTGAGGTCTGCCTTTGTAGCAAAAGGTATGTAAGGGCTACTGCACAGATAGCAGAAAGGTCACCAAGTCATTAACAAAATCCACTCTCAGTCTTCTGGATGGAATTCAGTTATTTGATTTGTATCTCCTTCACTGAGCAGACATCCATGTATGATTAACTTCCTGGTTCTGCTACTGCTTCTCTGTGAGTACAAGGACCTCTGTGCCCCCAACATCCCATACATTCCATAATCAGCATTAGCATTTTTTTCTTCCAAGTTTAGGTAGAAATGAGAAGCCCTGAGAAAGTACATTACCTGAGCTAGAAATCCTATAGTGACCCAGACTGAACATGCCAGTCAAGTGTTCGTGTGGCTTTAAAGAATCCTCAGCGGAAGGCATGCAGGCAGGACACAGGATAAAATTCCTCCACAGAGCAGTGGAGCACAGCAGTAAAGCAGCTGGACAGGGATTCTTCATGTCATTGCCACTGCTGCTAGCTGCTGCTTCAGCACCATCACAGATTCCAGGCAGGGTGTCAAAAAGTGGACAGTGGACTTGGGGGCAAAGGCCAGGCTGCTTTAGATCCACGTGAACTCCAGGACAAAGACTGACATTAATGGTCCCAAAAGCAGGACTGTCAGAGACTGCAAACGTTTTCCATTTGCTCTTTTGAGACAGGGTCTCCCTGCAACAGTGTCCTCAGTCCAGAGTACAATTGTGTGCCACACCTAGCTTTTCTTTATTTCATTAATAAATATGCAGACTTATTAGAAGTCAGGCATGGTGGTTCAGGCCTTTAATGTTAGCACTCTGCAGCAGAGGCAAACTTATCTTTATGTTTTTTTTAGGATAGCCTGGTCTGCATAGTAAGTTCCTGTCCAGTCAGGGCTGCAGAGACCCTGACAAAGAAAATGAAACAATAGAAGCATGATGTAAAGATAAGTATTCTTTATTTGCTTTACTTATTTTCACTAACGATGCAAAATTAAATGAAAACAAATCTGTAGACTCCTATGTCAAGTGGCAATAAAGTATGTATAATGTAGTCATCAGAGTATTGAGACTCTATAGTAAATATGGAGTGATAAGTAAAAAGCTTACTCTGATTCCATAGGGTTTAGTGCTCTAAATCCTGTATTTACATTGATGGGCCTTTTCTACAGAATAACAGTTTAAGAGAGTGCATATTAGTGCACAGTTTTTAAATCAAAATTTCTTTTTACAAAAATGAAGATCATAGCACCTTTTCCACAGCTTGCCTGAGGTATTGCTAACCCAGAAAGTGGCAGGTTTCCTTTGTCCTTTCTCAGTTCATAGCAAAACCTAATTCCCCAGAAAAGAGTCCTACTGAGTGCAGGAATAGTTCAGGGAAGACTTTGCAGTCCAGCCCCAAGTTCTGCATGAATGTCAATCTCTGCAGGTCTGGGGCAGTTCTGTGCCTGGGGTGAAAGCCAGGGCTGCCAATCATTGGGCTCCCTCACTTCACAGCACTGTCCCTAAGGTAGCTCAGCAGCCAATCAGGACCTCTAGATGGACTGCCAGTCAGAATGGGGAGGGTACTTCCGATCCGCCCTGTTGCATGCTCTGTGGCTCAGCGGTTAAGGCAGGTCTCCTGTTCTGTGTGCTTGGCTGTGATCACCGCTGCTGGGAGCCTTAAGGAGAGCGGGTGAGCACGGAATCCGCCATGGTGAGTGAGGTGCCGCTATTCCCACGGGGAGGACCCGCGGGAGCCGGAGTGGGGTCCCCCCGGGGCTGTGGAAATGGCGTCAGGACGTGGTGTCTCGAGTGATTCCCTTTGGTGCCCTGAGGTCCCTGCAACTCCCAGGCAGAAGCGGGACCTCTGAGTGATTTAGCTCTGCTGTTTGCTCCTGTGTAGAGCATGGGTGTGTGTGTGTGTGTGTGTGTGTGTGTGTGTGTGTGTGTGTGTGTGAGCATTTGTGTGGAAATAGCCTAGTTACCATGCAGGGCACATGAGCATTCAGGTGTAGGATCCTTCTGCAGTTAATTAATTCTGTGCAGGTGTAAAGTCTGTGTCATTAACATATTTGCTTGTAGATGCCAAGGTGGTTCATTCGCATGTCAGTAAGAGTTTCCTGGCCTCGTGTCACATTAGACTTTATATTTATTCTCTCTCTCCCTCTCTCTCCCTCTCTCCTTCTCTCCCTCTCTCTCCCTCTCTCTCCCTCTCTCCCTCTCTCCCCCTCTCCCTCCCTTGCTGTCTCTCCCTGACTCTTCCTGTCTCTCCCTGTCATACCCCCGCCTCCCAGATCGGTTTTCTCTGTGGGCAGGGAAGGCAGATTTGCTAACTTGCAGAGCCCTGGTCACTCTAGTGTCTTCTAAAAGGTCTGCACTTGGCACTGAATATTCAGGTGTGGGATCCGTCTGCAGTTAATTCTGTGCAGGACGTAAAGTGTGTGTCATTAACACATTTGCATGTAGATGCCAGGGTGGTTCATTTACCTGTGTCATTAAGGCCAGCCTTATTGTTCTTGGCGTCATGTGGCAAAATTGACTCTATATTTATTGTGTTTTTATTTCTAAGTTTGCTTTCATGTTCTGTTGATCTCTTTATTCTTTCCCAGACAGTACAGTCTCTCCCTGCCCCCCCCCCCCCAATAGGTTTTCTCTGTGTAGACCTGGCTGTCCTGGAACTCACTCTGTAGACCAGGGTGGCCTCAAACTCCCATGTTGCTGGCCTTAAAGGTCTGTGCTGCCACCACCGCACAGTTCAGTACAGTCTTTATTACAGTTTCATTCAAAGTTAGAAGTCAGATGGTGTCACAGTGTGTACTGTTTATTCAGTCATGTGTTGATTAATTTTTCATTCATGATGGCCTTTCCTCATGCTATTTCTGTAGTTTGTAGCATAAATTGTTAGACTTTCATTGAACTTTGCTGTATCTATAGCTCAAATTCTGTATTGTCGTAATAGAATATTGACATAATAGACAAGATGATAGCAAATCACATGGTTGATTTCTACTCAAGGTTAGTCTAGCTCCCTGCTAAGGAAGTACATCGTCCATCAGACACAATTCCCAGTGGTATCCCCACCTCTCCAAGGTTAAATGTGCACCGTTACACACTTTCCTTAAAAGGACTCTTTAATTAGGTTCCCATGTGTATAGAAGGAGATGGTGTCTATGGCCTAGGCATGTAGGCCCCATGTAACTAGGGAACAGAGGAAAGAATTCCATGACCCCAATCAGAGTTTGCTTCTTTTTGTTCTAGAGCTTTTTTTTTTTTTTTTGGTTTTTCGAGACAGGGTTTCTCTGTGTAGCTTTGCGCCTTTCCTGGAACTCACTTGGTAGTCCAGGCTGGCCTCGAACTCACAGAGATCCGCCTGGCTCTGCCTCCCGAGTGCTGGGATTAAAGGCGTGCGCCACCACCGCCCGGCTGTTCTAGAGCTTTTAATTGTGCTGTTCAGTCACTAATGTGAGATTTTTCCAAATTCCTTATGTAGGCACTTAGTGCTGTGAACTTTCCTCTTAGCACTGCTTTCATAGTGTCCCATAAGTCTAGTTATGCTTTGCATTCATTGTCATTAAATTCTAGGAAGTCTTTAATGTCTTTCTTTATTTCTTCCTTGACCCAGTGGTGATTCAGTTGAGTGTTGTTCAGTTTCCACCAGTTTGTAGGCTTTCTGTAATATGTGAGGTTGTTGAATTCTACCTATAGGCCATAGTGATCCTATAAGATTCAGAGGTTGAGATTCCAATTTTTTTGTGTGTGTTAGATTTGCTTTGTTACTGAGTATGTGGTCAATTTTAGAGAAGGCTCCATGTGGTGCTGAGAGGAATGCATATTCTTTTTTCTTAGGGTGAAATGTTCTGTAGATGTCTATTAAGTCCATTTGAGTCATAACATCTGTTAGGTCCCTTATTTCTCTGTTAACTTTCAGTCTGGCAGACCTGTCCATTGCTGAAAGTGGGGTATTGAAGTCTCCCACGTTTAGTGTGTGTGGTTTGATGTGTGATGTAAGATTTAGTAATGTTTCTTTTATAAATGTGGGTGCCCTTGTATTTGGGGCATAAATGTTCAGAATTGAGACATCATCTTGATGGATTTTCTCTGTGATAAATATGAAATGTCCTTCTCCATCTCTCTTGATTAATTTTAGTTTGAAGTCTGTTTTGTTAGGTATTAGAATAGCTACACCAGCTCTTTTTCTTAGGTCCATTTGATTGGAAAATCTTTTCCCAACCCTTTACTCTGAGGTAGTATCTATCTTTGAAGTTGAGGTGTGTTTCTTGTATGCAGCGGAATGATGGAACCTGTTTTCGTACTGATTCTCTTAGCTTGTGCCTTTTTATAGGTGAATTGAGTCCATTGATATTAGGAGATGTTAATGACCAGTGATTTTTAAGTCCTGTTATTTTTTGTTTTTTGTTGTTGGTGGTGGTAGTGTGTGTGTTTCTCTTTGGAATTTGCTGGTGTGAGGTTATTTATTGCCTGTGTTTTCATGAGTGCAGCTAACTTCCTTGGCTTGAAGTTTTCCTTCTAGTACTTTCTGTAGGGCTGGATTTGTGGATAGGTATTGTTTAAATCTGGTTTTGCCATGGAATATCTTATTCTCTCCATCTGTGGTGAATGAAAGTTTTGCCGGGGAGAGTGTTCTGGGCTGGCATCCATGGTATCTTAGTGTCTGCAAAATGTCTGTCCAGGACCTTCTGGATTTCACAGTCTGTATGCTCACTGATGTTTTCAATCTATGTATAAAGCTGTGGCTACTAATTGAGAGATATTTGACTGTGAAAGCCAGGCCATTGTATGTCCCCATTGCTGGGGGAGCCCAAATCATGTGACCAGTTCCTGGAGGAGCTTTTAAAGCTACTACCTGAGTTGTTTTAGTCTGGTTAGGGAACAATTTTACCAACCAGGAAGGGGTATCTATCAAAACTAGCAAGTACTGTTATCCTCCCTAGGCAGGGCGGAACTTGGTGAAATTATTTTCCCCAGAGATTGTAGGAGATTTTGCTTTGTCATTTGGATGCTTTTCTGGGTAAGGGCTCTGTTTTGGATTCACTAGAGGACAAACCTGACATCTCGCTAAGAGACATCCCTTACTAGCCTGTCCAATCTAGGTATAATATACCTTGGTCTGATTCAACTCAGAAAGTTTTGTGAACCCCAGATGAGTAGACCAGTTAAGGTTAGTTACCAACAGTCCAGTCAGTTGTTTTAGGGAGAATGATTTTTCCCTCTGGTGTCCTCCATCATCCTGTGGTTTCAAACTGTCCATTTTTTTTTTTACCATGAAGTCTCAGGCAGTGGGGGGACATGGTATGTCATCAGAATACCATGTGGCCCTCCTGGTTTTAATCAGATTATTAGCAAGCCCCACTGGTTCCAGAATATCAATAGGCCCCTCTGGTTTGGTGGGCAGTAATTTGCAGGGGAAGCCAAATAGCCTCTAGGAGAGCCAAGATATTTTAATGTGTCCCCCTCCCCCACCCCGTGATGAGAAGCCCTCTTTCTCTGTAGATCATTCTGTCTACATGCCCAACAGTTCCAGGAACACTGATATCCAGAGACATCAATATCCAGCTGCACTTAGGAACTCTAGAACCTGTCTCTTAGTCCTTGGAGTTGGAATGTGAAGGATGGCAGCAATCCTATTCTGAGACAGGTAACTTTTGTCTCCCTTCAGCTGGTAGCCAAGATAGGTAGGCTTCTACAAAGTTGGGTTTTCTTAGCCAACAGTTTGTAGCCAAAGGTCTGGAAACCTCCCGGGGTCCTTTTACAATTTGTTTTCTCAGAACACCTCTGGAGGAAGGGCAGGGACTATACATTTAATGTCTTTAATTCCTGGGGCAAACTGGTCCAGGTTCCTTGCCCACTGTAACCCACCCACTGGGTATATCTATTTAAAAGCAAAGAGAGCTGACTTAGCACTGCCAATGGGAGGCTGAAGAATGCATCTTTCAGGTCCAAGACAGCATCCACCTGTTTCTCTGGAAGAACCAGACTCTTGAGAATCAGAGGTTACAGGTTTCTTCATAAGCAGGAGAGGCATATTCCAGTGTGACTGGCAGGGCACCAGGATACCTGTCTCATCAAGCCAGGCAATATGCGCTTTATTTTCCCCATTGTATTACACAATTAAATCACTAATAATCCATGGAAATAGCTTAATGATTACAGAAATTTATTGGGGGCTTAACTCATGATACAGGATACTCACAATACAGGAAATAGGGATTGAGGCACAACCCACTGCTGTTCTCTAGAGAGCTCTCCCCTGACCTGCACCAGCATCCAAGACCAAAAGGTAGCAAAGAGAGACAAGCACATATGCATCTTGGGTCTTACAGGGACCTGTCTCAGCCACACCTTACGGGCAGGTCATAGGCAGGTGTGGCAGTTACTTGTTGCCACACTAGGGGCAATGTTTTGAGGTCAAACCTGGAACAGCTTCCCACTGCATCTTCCCCTTTTGTCTAAATAAGAAAGTTCTAACCTAATACAAAACTGTATAAAATAGGAATGATTATCAAATGTTGTCCAGGAGGAATAAGGGGTAATGACCTAGACAAGATGAAACTACAACCAATAAGAACAATACCAAACAAGAAACATACTAAAATTCAGAGGAGTCTGGAGCATAGGTAAATGGCATGTTGCAGAGCTCATTCTAAAAGGTGTTCTATCCTGAAGAACTTGAATCTAATACTTAATATGTTCTAG